CACGGAGCCACCGGCCGCGGCCCCCGCCGGGCGTGCGCGCTTCCCAGCCTCCGGGTGCGCGCCCCGACAACGCAGCCGCTGGCCACAGCCGATTTGCCCTAAGTGACCTGATGGCAGGACTGGAGCCCACCGAGCCGCATAGCTGAACCCACTGCGGACTCATAGCGACACTAACGGGCAGAGTACAACTGTCCAACAATGTTTCCAAGGCTGGACGTTTTCTCAACGCTGTCCCATCTGTCTCCTGCTGAGCCGCTGGTTCCAACCAGCCACTAGTTAGCGCCGGCACTTTAACCACGGCATCATCACTGTATCCCCAGGGCTTCTCTCAGGTGTCTCATTGTGGAAGGACACACCGTCTAAAAGAACAAAGTGCAACCAGGCTGTTCCTCAGCAAGGATAGTGAAACTGTCTCACATACTTTGGGCATGTTGTTAGACCAGTCCTTGGAGAAGGGCATCAAGCTGGGGGAAGGAAGGCCGAGGGTATCAGCTGTGGGTGAAGGCTGCTCCTGGAGGCACCATCTGCAATGTCATTGCTTTGAGGTGTCATCCAATCAACTATAACTCACAGCGAGCCAATGAACAACAGATCCGAACCCTGTCGTGCCGTTCTCACCAGCTCTGATATTCTTGAGCCCCGTTGATTAAGTCACAATGTCAATCCCTCTTGGTGAGGGTCTCCCTCGCTTTCCTGGACCCTCCATTTTCTCCAGGAGAGAAAGATTGGAGGTTTCTTCTTGTGTAATTTATTCCCCCAGAAAACCTGCTGGAAGTCACATATGAATCAGTTCCAACTTGACCACGCATAACAGCCACAAAGTACGCAAGACACCTCAACAAACACTCCAAAAGGTCCCGGGGCCGGACAGTCACAGAGGCAGAAAAGGAGGTTACAACCTTCGGCTTCAACCTCTGGAGCCTATTAGAATTACCTGGATACTTTTAAAAATATCTGTACTGGGCCTCCATCCAAACTCAGTCAGCCGAGGAATCTAAACAGTCTGAGATCATGTCAACTTACCATTGTCAGAGCCACTGTCTCAGAAGATGAGAAGGGACGGGTTCCTGGGTCCCCATGAATTTGCTCCAAGTGGCTTCCTTTCGTCCCATGCCAGAGAGAGGGGAGGGAAATGTCATTCTCTGGGGGATGCCGTCTCCCTGCACTAAGGAGACTTAAGCAAAGCTGTCACTCATCATTTCTCCTTATAAATATTCACGGAGCACCATCCAGGTGTCTGCAATGGCTGCAGCTGTTGGAGATCCACTGATGAACAGGAGACACCCTCTCTGCCCTCATCATGTTTACGTCCTGGAAGCCATGACGCACACCTGCATTTTTCCAAACTGCATGTGGAAGAGTGGTTCTTAATTTGGGCTCCACAATAGATTCACCTGGAGAGCTGCTGAAACCTTCAATTGCTTGGACCCCAGCAGAGACCAATTGAGCAACAGAGCCGGGCCCGTGCTTCAGCGTGCAGTAAAAGTTCCCCAGGTGCTTCCAATGTGTGGCCAAGATGAGAGCCACTGACTTGGATTCCAACTCCACGGCAGAGACCGAGGGCTTGCCTCGCGTCTTGCCAACTTTCAGTGTCTTTGGAGGCAACTTCTGTTGTCAAAACAAAGAGTGATCCCCCTCTTTTCTCTCCTAACCACAAGTGCTACCATACAGTTTATCCATTCACCATTTTGGGGCACAGTTGGTAAAGGTGGGTGGATAAAGGGAGAGTAATGGTCCAGGGTGAGACACTTACAGCTGAGTACCCAGAGAGACAGAGTCCTTGGCCCCTGTAACAGGCAGAAGGGCTTTGAAATCAGTCATGAAAAACAAGGAAAGCATTCTTTCATTTTACTGTAAGCCAGGAAAAGGGTTAATGCCATCCTCAGACATCTCTCTCCTTGTCTCTATCCCCTAATGATTAAATACCTCTAATCCAGTAGATATCTCTTCATTATGTGGACCCAGAATCATTTCCTCTTTCTGATAACAGCACCCCAGTGTGTTACTTCAGGAAACTACACTAGGCAAATCTTGGTAGAATAAATTACTCAGCTGTCTCACCAGCCCTTATGAAAAAGTAGCCAATGGCCCAGGCTTGACCAGTCTGAGAGTTCTACCTGCCTCCCATAGCTGCCTGGATTCATCAGAGTGAATCATGGTAGAACTCATCATTTGCTGTGAACATCAACCTTGTGTATTATTGGATGGGCAGAAGAAATCAACAATCATTGTCCACGGGAGCCCCAGAAAGTATTGCACTGTGACAATCTGTTGTAAAATACCTCTTTAAAGTGTTAAAAGAGCAAAGATATCAGCTTGACAATGAAAGTGTACCTGGCCCAATCACCTTTTCAATCACCTCATACACATGTGGAAGATAGACAATGGAAGACAGACAGAAAAAGAATCGAATTCAAGTTGTGACGCTGGCAAAGATCACTGAAGATACCATGGATGGTCGAAGAATGAACAGTCCTGGAAGAAATTCAATCACAATGTTCTTTAGAAGCAAAGCAAAGATGGTGAGAGTTGGGCTCACTCACTCTGGACAAGTCATCAGAAAAGGCCAACTGCTGGACAGTTAATTTCCTGGTTGGATGAGGATCAATGATCACGACGGGAACTTGCAATGAGGCAGATACAGAGATGGGCGTGAATATACTTAAATCATGATGGTAGCATAGGACCAAGCAAAAGTTTGTTTTCTTATTCATAACTCATGACCCAGAACCAACTTAGGTGTCAATTAACAAGAAGAGTGGGTGGATGGATGGATGGATGGATGGATGGATGGATGGATGGATGGATGATTGGATGGATGGATGGATGGATGATTGGATGGATGGATGGATGGATGGATGGATGGATGGATGGATGGATAGGTGAATAGATGAATGGGGGAGGCTTGGGTGGATGAATGATAGGTGGATGAACATGTAGGTAGATGGATGGATGATAACTGATGGATAAAGAGAGGCAAATGATAGATTGAAAAAGGTATCTCTTTAAGGATCCTCCTGCCTGAGAAAAACTGGGCACCCTAATTGATAAGGAAAGAATCCTAAATTCTTTCTCAACTTTACATCCTCTTGAAATATTCAATATTAAGAAACTTTCCCATCAACTAACAAATGGATAGAGCAGCTCTGGTATATTCACACATTAGAATACTCTGCTTCATTGAAAAACAAGGAACTCATGAAATAGTATACAAAATGGGTGACCCTGGAGGGCATTATGTTGAGTGAAATGTCTCAGTCACAAAAGGACAAATATTGCATAGTGCCATTGTTGTAAAACGGGACTGACATCACGGTTGGGAGGGAAACTAAGAGAAGAGGGGATAAATAATGTATACTGCATTGAAACAGATCAAGGAGAGAACTATTTAAAAGGAATATATATTTAGGTATTATTTTCACGACAAGATTCCAGAAAAAGAAATGCATAGTAAAATGAACTGTGGACTTGGGGCGGGGGGAGGCGGGGAGTAGATTGTATAACAATGAAATGATTTTTTTTTCTTTTCAAAGAGAAAAGCTAACTGTGGGGAGGTGTGAGCAGAAAGGAAAATGTGCAACAATGAATGAATGGGGGAAATTAAATGGGAAGAATATGCTGTAAAAACATATATATATATATGGTGTGTGTGTGTGTGTGTGTTGCATTTCTTTAAAAAGAGAAACTTTACAGTTGATAATACACTATAAAAACTACAGACTTAGGGAAGATGGTTCTAAACGTTCTAAAAGTGACTCTTAGTTGTTCTTCTGAACCACGGACACTTATAAACTCCTCCGATCAGAGATCTTTAAAGAGCTGAGGTTCAGAGTTCCTGGAAGAGCAGTGGGGAGTAAAAAGTTTTCTTCAAGGCCACCTTGAAGAATATGGAGTTTGGTTGGGGAAAGGCGTGTTTGTAATTCCAAAGTAAGTCATTTGTGTTCTCAGGTGCAAGGGCCTAGAGAAAGAGGTGTGACCTTTACTCAGTTGAGAGGCCAGCCTTAGGGGTGGTGGGTGGCTGGAGGCCTTGACAGGGGGCCTCTGTCACCTGTGTACCTGCCCTGTGGCTGATCTCCTTGCAGAGGTCTGACCTTTTATTTTGCAAACAAGGGAAGCCACAGAGTTGGAAACACATAGCATACATTTGTACAGTCTGAGCCCGGCCCAAATTGCACAGCATTTCCCCCAATGTGTGATTACAAACTGACACAAGTGCCATGAATGGAAAGAAATGCTCAGAACTTCAGTTAAGAAGTCCTGCTGGAGACCCTTCAGGGGAAGGTTTCCCTGGGAAGGTGACGTTGAAGCTGGGACAGGAAGGATGAGTAGAAATCAGCTAGGCAGCAGTGACACAAAGAATAGCCAGATGAGAAGTTACGTGCAAAGGCCTTGTGGCAAAAGGAAGAGTAAAACATTGGAGTGTCACCCATCAACAAACCAATGGACAGAGAAGCTGCGGTATATTCACACAATGGAACATTATGTTGCATTGAAAAAAGAAGGAACTCATGAAATATTATACAAAATGGGTAACCCTGGAGGACATTATGCTGAGTGGAATATCTCAGTTACAAAAGGACAAATACTGCATAGTGCCACTGTTGTAAAGTGAGACTGACATCAGGGCTGAGGGGAGATTGAGAAAGAGGGGATAAATAATATATACTGCATTGAAACAGAGGAGGGAGAGAACTGTTTA